GCTTTTCACTTTAAAAAGAATTCAAGAGATTCCGTCATTTCAACCAAATAACTCTTACCAAATTCATGTTTTTTTCTTTCAATTTCCAGTAGTTTGCAGATACAGAAAAAGAAACAGTTGTGGAAGAAATGGCTTACGTTCACCACCAGAAAGCTGTTCAAATCTAGCAACTATATGTTTCCCATAGGTGTATTTCCTCAAAGCAGGGAGATGAAGCTTGATTCGATTCAGTAAAACCCGGCACTGTTCACCATTGCTGATCTCAAGAATCTTTTGAACTACATAATTTGCAAACTGATCCTTCATCATCATCTACATCCAGAAAGTTGAAACAATTCAATACACATCAAGCATGAAAACACAGGCACACACAGAAAAACCTAGTAAGGTCCAACAAGTGGGGCCAGGGAGTGTACCCGTGTGGGTGTACGCAGACCTTACCCTACCTAAAAGATATGAGCAGTGCTAGAGCCACTACCAAGGGAGCCACCAAGTCCACTAAAAGATAAAGAGGCTCACACACACTTGTAGAGAAGATAGAGAGGGGTACAAGTATCTTACTAGCAGACTGTCATTCCCGTCGGACTGTGCAAGAATCTCGCCGATCAAAAGCTCCTCATCAGCAGCATCACCATGCACCAAGCACTTCTCTACAACATTTGATGCATATTTATGTTGACTCAACTGCACAACTTTCCCAGACAATTTTTCAACAATCCGCCTTCTTTCGTGTGGTTTTCCCCTTTCCAAAACATGCTGTTTATAGTACAGTCATGCACCATAGAGTCAGTTTAATGTTGAAATAATGTTAGTACTATCCCACATCGAGAAATTATGCATATTTCACCACCCAAGAGGGAATTACTCACTTGCTGGGATTATTAAAAAAATTAAAATTAAATTTAAAATGATACGCAAAAGTCAACACAACCACAGTGTAATCCCAACTCTGTTGGGGTCTATGGGTCAAGATATAAGCAGTCTTATGATCTTGCCACGGTAAAAAGAACAGAATGTGTTGTTGCATTTACTACCCAAAACATCATAGAAAGTAAAAAAGTAAAGGAAGTTCAAAGGGTCATTTTGATTTAGTCGATTATTTACCCTAAGCTAAAACATTTTCAATATTGATTATTTTAGCTCATTGGTATGCAAATGAAGTTTAATATTTGAACCCAAATAGGCTTGTGGGTCGAAACCAATTACTCCTCCCGTCCCATAAAAGTTTTTCCACTTTTTTTTCATCCGTTCCAAAATTTTCTCATTTTTTTCTCTTTCCATTTTTAAGAAAAGAATATGTTGTCCAAATATTTGTCTCACTTTTTAACAAATTCTAACTACTCACTAATAAACATCTTTTCAACACGTACCTGGGTCACATAGTTACCATACTGATCCTGGGCAAGAATATAAGCTGATTCCAATATTTCATCGACTATACATTGACTTTGTAAGTCATCTGAACAATGCTCCAACACTCTCTTCAGAAATTGCAAATAAGAGAAATTAAATATGATAAATAATATTCCATCCATCCCACAAAGGCAGTTCAGTATCTTTTCTGAATAGCAATCTTCCATTCCACTTTATAATGTTTTAGAGACATGCCAAGTAGGGGTAAGGTTTGGGTAGATGCACCCTCCCCAAACCCTACTTTTTGTGGGATTTTAATGGCTCAATTGTTTCAGTGACTTGCCACTCATTCCGATTGGTTGATATTGTTTACGTGCAATTAGTTTTAACAAATCAACCAATCAGAATGATGGAATACCAATATGATAGGGATAGTGTGAGATTCGAACTCCAAACTTTTTGCACGAGAATTAAGAAATGATACTTTGTAGTTTATAAAGTAAAAGCACTAAAGTTACAAAGTTTTACATATATGCCCCGCAATCACATTAATTATGAATCAGAATTTAGGGGTACAAATAAAATGAGGCACTAGTGATGTGTTCATGTTGCTCAATATAGAAGCTAGACTAATCTTTGTGGGGCATGCCAAAGATGGAATAACGGATTACACACGGGAGTGTAAAAAGTACCTGAATCACTCGACAACCATAAGGATGGGTAGAGAGAGTGGCAACTTGGCCTTGGAAAGCAGATATTATAAACTCAATACTTTCTGTTGGAACGGATTCGATGCATTTCTGTATGACGTGATTCCCATTTTGATCTCGTACGCATGTCATCACATGTCCATCAAGTTCATGCACTAGTTCTCTCTTCTGATAAGGTTCAATCACTTCAAGTGCCTATTGCAAATATCCAAGAACAACACAAGTGGAAGGGTACGTACATTTATAAATGAAATGCTTATAAAGCTAGACCCTTGATGCATTTACTACCAAAAACTTTGTAGGAAATTAAGAAGCTAAAAAAACTTTAATGTGCCATCCGGATTGAGGTCATTATTTACCCAAAGTTATAACATTATCATGCCTCTTTTAGCTCAATTGCCAATGAATGCATTGACGATCAAGAAAGAACATGTAATTTAACAAAAGGGCAAAAATGATAAGCCAAATTAGTCTATTCAAATACCTTTTGGATAACACGGCAACCATACATTTGCAAACTTAAAGGTAGCATCTTTCCTGTTAATTGACAAGCCAGCTCCTTTCTTTGATCTCGACTTCCATGCTCGAAGAACTAAAACAATATTAATGCATATGAGAACCAGTTATATGCACTATTTGAGATGTTGATCTTGAAAAAAAACTATGCTTAGAACCGATACCGAAGCCTACCTTCTGAATAACATAGTTCCCAAAGACATCAGTCATTAGCTTTGAGGCATGTGGAAGTACTTCTGCAAAAACAGAAGCTTTCTCTTCATCACTACAGTTCTCCAACTTCTGCTGTATGAACCGGCTTCCATGTTGATCAACACTATGGGTAATCAATTAAGTGTTAGGATTATTTTCAGACTGATTTACCCAGAGTTGAATAGGATAGCAGTCATCTTAGGGATTGTTCAGAAATTGGAAAAAAAGAAAAGATGAGTTAATGGTTAAAACTCAATAATTTATTTTAAATACTAGTTAATGACTTTATGTTCAGTTTTTTATTTGTGTCTATTGAATAAATTATAAAAACAAAGGGAGTATCATTTTCCTTAACTACTCCCTCTGTCCATGAATCATTTACTCTTTATGCAAAACAAAGTAAAATCCCAAATTTGTTCAATTCATTTTATTTAAAGATTGGTATATAAATAAAAAATTAAATTTACATATTTAAAAAGTACATCAAAAGTTCTACAAAACAAGAGGTGACAAGAATATTTTATTTCATCAAATAGTCAAAGAAAACACACATATAAATATATGTTCCTGCAATTTTTGAATACTAAAGTGTGTAAATCATTTAGGGACAGAGGGAGTACCATTGTAAAATCATTGAGAGAAAAATGACATCTTTTAGCAATTTTTTTCATTGTCTAGAATTTTCGAAGTCCAAACACACTCTAGGGACCTGTTTGTAACTCATAAATGATAAGGAAAGAAAATGAGGAAAATGGAGAAGAAGAAATTTGGAAGAAAATAAAATGCAGGAGGAATTACAAAGAATGGTTCAAACTCAACGTATCAATTTTAGATATCCGTTCCAACGCATTCTATGTGTATACTTCAGCTATTTAAAGATTTTAAAAAAACTCTAGATATATTTAAAATTTTAATAAGGTCTAACCAAAATTTAAGTTTTCTTTGTAATTGCTAAAAAATGCAAAACATTTTTATAAAAAACCATTTTCCTTTGTTACATGTTTTTACTTTCTTTACCATTTTCTGAGCTCAAAACATACTCTTACGGCCTTAGAGAACTGTGGCAAATAAGTTTAAAATAGATTATCACCTGAACTCAACAATACGTCCTGCAATATCAGAGATGTCAATTTTCCTCCCACTATTTGCTTTTAATTCATCAAGCAATGAGGGCCTTTTAGGTTCCATGAAGTTGTCTCTCTCCACTTGCCAAGCAGGATAAACTCCAACATTTTTGCTAGATGCTTGTGAAAATCTTATGCCACTTCGCCTCCCAAAAGGGTATGCCCCTCCTATAGGGGAACCTGGCAGGACAGGACTGTCCAAAGGAGACAATGGAAACTGTGGCACGTACCCCACAGTAGTTGGACTTCCATAGTGACCATTATTAGGCACTCCTATTTTCCTCTGATTTTGTGGCAGAAATGTTTGATCACCAAAGTAAGATGCAACAGATGGATCACTGAATGCATCCTCAACAGGATGTTGTTGAAAGTACTGCATCTGCAAGGGTCTGTTTGGAACACAGAATATAGGGGAGAAATGGGTATTTGTTCGCACTAAAATTATTTCATTTATATATATTATTATATAAAGACAAAATCTAAATATTTGCAAAAAGAGTAAAACAAAATCAATTTTCTTTTTGATGTAAAAACAAGCTAAGAAAATTATGTTCCTTAGTCCCCCCCCCCATCCCTATCATTTTCAGGATCAAAACTTACCCGAAATGATCAGGCAAGGAAGGGTGCATCATTAATCCATTGTTCCCCAGGTGTGGAATGTCCCTAGTTTGACTGCTAAGGTTTTGTCCTGAAATGGCATCAAACTGGAGAGGAAGAATATTATTATGAGATGAATAATGGGGAGGAAAAATTGGGGAGCCCATAGAAGCATAACCACTCATGCTATATTGAGGAAAGTATAATCCGGATGAGTTCAAGTTGGCATAAAATGGACTTCCCGGAGATATATAAGCAGCAGCTGCAGCATACAATGGTGGCGGTGCCAGTCCGGAAGGTTCTGGAAGATGAGGGTGAAATTGTCCTTGGTCCAAACCATGAGATGGTATTTGCACTTGTAGGCCAGTGACTTGGTGAGGTATGTTCCGTTGAGAGTGAAGATGATGTGGCACAGTTTCATTCTGGAAACTGGAACTAGTGTCTTCCTTGGTGGATTCTACCATTGCGGGTTTCTGGAAAACCTCATTGTCTTCTTCTCTCGAACCTAGTTTGCTTAATGAATGAGCGCTGTGTTTTGGTAAAGCTTCAAGAGAAAGATTTTCCAGGCCAAGCGAATGAACATTGCATTCAGTTGGTTCCTCAGAAGCAACACAGGACTGACTATAAAGCGGCGATGGAGTGCCTTGGAAGTTGTCCTATGATAAAAATTAAAAAAATAATAATCTATAAAAATCGGGAAAAATGTAAATATTCCGATGAATAAACACAAAGTTACATGTAGACGAAAATGATTGAAACAACAAGACGACATCAATCCAGTGAGTGGGGTCCAGGGAAACTGGGTGTGTGCGTACCCCTACCAATAAAGGTAGAGATGTTGTTTCCGAAAGACCCATGAGAACACAACCTGCAATATCTTAGCCATGGTTCCATTTTCCAAGTAAAAAAACAAAAAGAAACCATAGAAATAAAATGAGATCTAAAGCTCCCCATACCATTTTTTTCATTCAATCCTCTCATCTTCCCACCCACTATATACATATAATATATAAAATAAGGTAGACATGTAACTCTTTCATCTGCAAAAAAGAACTCAACTTAGCACGGAAGAAGATAATTATGTTATATGACTGACATGAGTACTTGTTAGTCTTACATATCCAATTAACAGACACACACACACACACAACAAACATTATGAATTCCATGTGCAACATCAAATGCAAATCAATTGAGTAGCCATTGCCTATAAGAAACTAAGGTATCATTTGGTATTTTGGTAAGCCGTAATGGAACATTTTATAATGAAAACAATTTTATCAAATTCATATGTAATGTAAATTTATGCTAAAAATATACTCTGTATCTGAATGCATTCCATTACGGTCTATCGTTGTCTAAGGATATAAAATCAAGCCATAGCTAATTAGAGTTCTTAGAAGATACAAAAGTAGAACTTATTTTAATAGTAGAATAGATTTACAGCGTTTGATACCTGAATTAAACCAACCAAACTTTTACGGTGACCGGTCAAAGCATCTAATTTTGGTCCAGTCAATTCGGTAGTTATATTTTGTGCTGATATATCTGAAGCAGATTGTGCAGAACTTTCATCATCGGGCTCTTCGATATGAGTAGAAAGAGAGCCTCTGGGAAAGGCCACATGTCTACTAGCTCCACTGTCACCTGAAGCAGTGAATTTGTAACCATCGTTCGTAGTGGACCCCACACAGCGAGAAAGATGGTGCTTATTTTCCCTTGAGATAATAGGGGGAGGAAGCCGTGGATTCAAGTTGACATTTGAAGAGTAGTATGCAAAATATGATGGGAGGGCCCGTATTTGTTCCTCAGACGGGCAGTTCAACAGAGCTGTGTCTAATGAGTTTGTGGGACCTAAATCCCAACTTCCAGTTTTCTGGAATGTGAGGCTCCCAAATGCCGTGAATGAACCTTCCATACTTGGAGGAGCACTACCACTTCGATGTGGGACTTTATTATGATGCCCTTTTAGGAACAATCCCAGCTCATCATTAGAAGAACCCCACTGCCCAGGTCTCCTACTTTCAACCATTCTCATTGGGTTCTCAGTTGCCATTGTGCTGCTCAAAAGAATATGAATCTGTACCTCAGAAAATATCAATCTAACCTTTACATCAGGTCACCAGTTGGTCTGCAATGGAAAAAAACAATTGAGTTTACATGACAGTTACTGTTTTTGTTTTTGTTTTTTTGTTTTTGTTTTTTTGCAAAGGGTGTTGAAGAGAGTAGCAATAAGTATTATGAATTAACCTCTTGATAAAAGAGTGTTTGAGAAACACACCAACTCTTAGCGTTGAGCTAAGCTCCACACTTATTACCTTAAGAAAAGGCAGTGTTGAAGTTCCACATTTTTTGTGGGGGTGGGTCAGGAAATTAAGAATCTACAAAGTTTTGGGGAACTAAGGAGAGTTTTGGGGCCATTGTATATATCTTGAAAAGTAAAATATTTCAAAAATATATGTATAACAAAGAACGGTTGAAAATTATGTGATCAACTATCATTTTTTAGGATCAAGCACATAATTTCATTCCACAATAATATGATCACATATTATATTATTCCTTAATTTTTGTTTATAAAATCTCAAATACGGAGTATATAATAATAAATTAATTAATTCCTCCACCCTCCCCTCCAATCATCCCTAAAGGACAGTGGAAGTGGATATAAAATTCTGCTTTTGGAAAACTAAGCAAATGACATAATCTTGAGTTGCCAAGTCCAAAAAGTGAATTTGCCAAAAAGTGTAGCAACACTACTTTTTCCAGTTTCTTCCCAACAAAGGAAGCGGAAAAACATGAGGAAATGTTGGTGTTGGATGCCTAATTTTCCAGCAAAAACTCCAAAAGCAGGAAACATCAATGCTAAACTATAACATCATAGCTCACCCAAAAAAATTACAAAAACACCCCTGATGTGCAGCTCCCCACAGTTTTCCTAATTCATAAAACTGGATTAAACAATTACAGTCAAGACAGCAAGAAGTAGCACTCAAAAGACATAAAAATTCCCAGAAATAAAAGAGAGGGAAGTGTGTGAAACCCAAAAACATCAATTTCTCAATAGAAACTAACATGGGTGTTGACATATCATACCAGTGAAATAAACAACAACAACAACAACAAAAGCAAACCCCCAAGACTTCATATGAAGAACCAGTCAACGGGCAAAACAAGAACCGCCAAGATCAAAGGGTAGTCAAAGAAACAATCTTTATGGCAGAAACCTTTGATTTCATGGTCTTTCAGAGACTCACCAGAAAAGCCGACTTCCCTTAGACGAAGCCTGTAGATGATAGAAGGTCCCAGCTGCGATGGCAGATGATAATCAAGACTTTACACAGAAGGGAAAATGAGTGAGAAAGTGAGAGTTTTCTTGTTTGTTTATTAGGAGTAGAAATGAGAGAGATAGAGAGTCAGAGAGAGGGATAGAAAGGGGAGTAGGCAGAGAGAAAACAGATGTCACTTGCAAAAGCTATCATGGTGGAGACACTTGGGTTCCAAATTATATGGGCTATTTCGGCTATCTGAGAATAAATGGGGGAACAAATAATGGTGAGGGTGCTCGGAGAAATTACCCTACTAGATATACAAGAAATTAAAAGTGTAGACACACAAGAAATTAAAAGTGCATTCATAGACATTAAGTGTACGTGTGTATTTATTTTTGACTTTGTTTATATTTGGTGTATTCCAAGTTGAGTTTTCCAAATATTTTTCAAAAAAATACGCCTCCAGTCCTCCCTCTAGAAAAATATTATCTTTTTAATTTTTAGAAAAGATACAAACAATATTTAAAATAAAAAAAGTTATACCTTTCATCCTAAATTAATTAGTCTTTTCGTTTTATTAAAAAAAAATTTGTTAATGTCAAGGTTTGTAGTTTTTAACCTCCAAATATGAAAAAATGCATTGTATTTTGATATAACTGTAATATCAATAGTTTATTTTTGAAATATAATTTTAAAATATTAAAATTTAATAAAAATTGTGTGTGTATATATATATATTAATGATCAAAGTTTTACAATAAAAATCATAAAAAGTTAAATGGAAACACTAAATCCGAACAGAGGAAGTAATCTACATTTGGGTTGGCACAAAATATATGAAATGAAATTTTGTAATTGGAAATTATCTAGAGAAGAAAAAATATGAGCTACAAAAACATTTTCAAAACTAGAAAGAAGACTTTTTGGGATATTTTTAAAATGAAAAGAGAACTATTAATTCGAAATAACGTGGGTATGTGATTAAAATTTATTTAAACAAGAGAGAAATATTAGGTGAATTTATTTAAACAAGAGAGAAATATTAGGTGACACGCCTTTATTATTCAAACAATTATTTGATGTTCAATAAACAAAGTTGTTAATATTTTTTAAACATCCAAAAATTACTACTTTCCCTGTTCCTAAATAATTGTTTTTATAATTTTTTAAGTATACTATAATTAGTTAAAAATGAAATAAAAAGTAATGAATAATTTATGACATTCTCTTGCACCTAATTATCCACAAGAATACAACATAGACAAAGAAATGACATACAAAGTACTTGATGATAGTACGAGACACAATTACATTTGACAGATTTTCATCTACTCCATTCATCCCTAACACTTGCCATAACCTTTTTTTTCTATTTAAAAAAAGTAAAATTTACTCTGTATATAATTAAAATTTATTGACAAAAAAAAAGATGAATCCCATTTATGGTCTCTCGTTAGACCTGATGAATCCCGTTTAGGGTCTCTCGTTAGACCCGATCGGGACAATTTCTTAAAAAATATGGAGTAAGTCAATAAAATTAGAATAGAAAATATGAATTGTCATTAATACGAACAAAGATTGTTAGGCAAAACATAAATACTCACATTCTCTTTACTAGCATTGTGTTTGATTCAAGGAATTTAAAAAGGAACAAAATAAAAATAAAGTGGAAAATAATTTTTCTTTTGTTTGGTTAGATAGGAAAAGAAAAAAAAAAGTGGAAGGAAAAAAATTGAGAAGGCAAAATATGCTTAGTGAATAGAAAACCAAATTTCTTCCATTTTGGTGAGGAAAATAAGAAAAAATTCATTTTTTCTTTTCTTTCAAAATTTCTTGAACCAAACATAATGTAAAAGTCAAACACGACTCAGACTTTTTTGGAAATAGTGTTAGAGATTAGCATTAACGTTTTTTTATACTCCGTAAAATTTTAACGGTGCAGATTAGTTTAAAAATATTAACGCTAAAACACTCACCATAGATAGTCTTTTCAAAACGCTAACGCTATCTCCAAACATGCTCTACAATGTCCATTATATTTGCATTATAAACTTTAATTTATTTTAAAACGAGGAATACAAATTTTAATTTATTATCAAATTCGAGTCAAATCTGAGTTCCTCAAAAAAGGAGGGAAATGTTCTTCATTTACCTCCATCCTCCATTCCTCGACACCAACTCAATTTCTGAAGAAAAAAACACAGATTTTTCGAAAAGATGGTCTCTTTATAATCTGCAGACAACTATTTTTAAGAAAAAAAAAACAGAAACGCCCATAAAACAAGACCAGTTAATGTTAATGGCGGACAAGTCTATGAATCCTTGTTAACACACATGTACACAGTCAAGATTGAATCTATTCTATCCCCAAGAGTGCGACGACTTTAGCAGGGGAAGAGGATGATTGTGGGGTCCCTGTGGAACTTCCCGTCGAATACATTTAGCTTTTTCATCTTTTCTTCGCACCAGAATAACTGCTCCCTGCTTATTCTTTCCATTCTCAGTACCCTCGCCATCACTTTGACATCGATTTGGCCAAGCAACAGGTCAACATCTCCTGGCGTGGAAGGCCACGAATGGTTTTTCGTGTTCTTTCTTCTCTTGCGTAGATCCTTCATTTTCATGGCTTTCTGCATTTGACGTGATGGTAAGAAATGAGTGTATGGAGAACAATCAAAAGATCCTTTTTTGCATCATCTAAATAAGCTCTACAAACAAGAAAGGGTATATGATCTCAACCTTAAAGGTGTGTTTGGTTCGTGGATGGGATGATTGATGGGAGATGGGGGAAAATGCAACCCCCGCCCTCCAACCAAACACAACCTAAATCCTAGATGTTAAAGTTAGAAAATACCTCATCCCAGGATTTAATTGTCGACTTTATATTTCAAAAAAAATCTCATTTTTAAGAAATGAGTTTAAGATGTCAAATAAGTCCTTCAAATGGGTTTGTCACACATTCATGTCCAGGACAAAGGGAGTAGTTTATCTCTTATGCAGGGTATGATTTGTGGATAAATTTTCGATGTGGTATATTTTAACAATCACATCAATCTCTTATGAAAAGCACAATGTAATAGGATGCGAAGGAAAAAATATAATTTACCTTTTCGAGAGAGGATTGTATCTGTTGAAGGGGCGTAGCCAGTTGGTTCTGGCTTCCTAGTAGATGACGAACACTGCTAGTTTTTCTGTTGTCCGTTTTCAGGAACTTACGAAATGCCAGGATTGAACTTTCAATTATTTTAATTAGATCAGGGGCTAGAACAAGAATCTCATCCTCTTCTGACTTCTTCTGATCCGAACCTGAAATGCGCGCAAGAACATTAGCAAAACACGCAAGATGATTTCTGAGAGCTTCGAATACCCATTGAATATAATGAATGAAAATGTTTAAGAGCCCATTTCGTAAGAAGTGAAAAGGCTTGGCATCTCTATGTCATGTTTCTATGTCCCCCTTTTCCTTTTTGGGTCATATCTAGTTAATCTTCACTTTCCCTTTTAAAGAAAGAATTGGGTGGTCCATATTGATGCTTTCATTTCCAAATAATTATCAAAGCCACACAAGTTTATTTTCTCAAACTTCGTAAAAAGAAAATATGCCAGATAAGCCTAGAAATGCAAATCAAATGGGCATTTAATGTGTGAATCTTGTTAAAAGAATTGTACCTTGAACTTTAGGGACTTGAAGTAGTTTACTCAATGAATTCCTAGTACGGGCATAAACCTCTGGCCTCGACCCGTGCTCGAATGGTTCATTCTCAATAAACCTTTGTAACAAAACCAAGAATTGTTGAAACTGCTGGGCGCTATGGTTGTAAATTGTGGAAGCTTCAGGCTGGCCGGATATTTTCTGCATCAACTGTGTGTACTGGCAATGAAGTACCTCCCATGTCAAGCATAAATGAGCTACATAAGCTGTTTCAAGATCATGGTAAGGGTTGAATCCAGGCTGGTGAAGGTGCTCAGTTTCGTCATCAGGTTCGTCCATTTTCTTCATGGAAAGGCACCGAAATGGCGATGCAAGCTTTTTGGATGCAGATCTTGGAGATGGAGTTGAAGAAGGGACATGAGAAACTGCAAATGGTTTTAATATGAAAGCTTTCACATGAAGGATATGATATGTATGCATCCTATAAGATAATAGGGTAGGACATTAGGGGGAAAATGGTACAGGAAGTTATTTTCTTGTTTCATGAAAATGATTATGCCTAATATCATTAAATACTCCCTCTTGTGTCTTTAAACAAGTAAAGTCAGATTGTTTCACATAGTTTTACAAGAGTATTGTATCCAATACCATACATTACAATAATACTACTACACAATAAGTTAGAAGTAATCTGATGTTCAAATTATCAAATCTGTCAAGTGGTACGGTAAATGGTACTTAATGTCTCTAAAATTGCTGAAGTTCCATTTTCTAAATCATTTTTGGGTTTCTCCCCTACTGTTTGATGATGGAAACTATAGATTCAAAGGAAGACGGAATTTTTGAACTCCCACACCTTCTTAAGTTTTTCCCAAAGAGTGGGGGTTCATATTGAACTCAGAAAATGCTAGATTGCTATGGAGAGGAAATAAATATGAACATATAGAGAATCTTTAAAGGGGGGGAAATGAGGGGGGTGATAAAACAATGGTTCAATCTCAATATAAAAATTGCACTTTTAGAGGTAAAATCAAACAAAAGATAATAACTTTCCTTCGGGATCTTCTTTCTTTTTCCAAAACTACTATTGAGTTCATAGATCAAAGAAGCATTACCAAATTCACGCAGTTGCTGATCACGCAAACGATCATAAAACAGCATTCGTTCACAGTATTTGTCATACACAGCATCAAATCCAGACCAAAACTGTCTTCCTTCAGCTTCCACGTCCCTCAATTGATTAAGATTGTTCTCCCCATCTTCTTGCTCATCATCATCTTCTTCTTCTTCGTCCTCAGGGGCCACCTCTTCGGGAATCAACCCCATGAAACTGTTTTTCCGGAGCTCCTTCAGCCTCCTCTTGATTTCATTGGCTATAAAATCATCATCGTCTTCTTCTGCTTTGGGGGGTTTACCCGCTCCCTGACAATCTGAATCTTTGGGGTGAGATACAGGCTTATCCTCTGCTCCATTTTCTGGATTTTGCTTGCGACCTCTTCCCAACTTCTTAGCTTTCAAGAAATCCATCACCAAAGAATGACTGCTCAATTCAATTATTCTCCAATTTGGTACTGTTTTTTTTTCAAAAAAGTGACAAACCCAATGTTCAACAAGAAAACACTGGGTTTATGCTACAAGTATGAATCATAAACAGAAATTCAAGAATTTCAAACACAAATCTCTCATTTCACAACCCAAAGAGCTTCAACTGGCCTCCACACTCTGCACGTTCCAAACAGCATAATAACTTGATAAAACGAGCAAGACACGCAAAAAGGAAGAATCTTTACACAAAAAGAATAAGGAGAAGGAGGAGGAGAAAAGATCCACAAACAAACAAGAGAAACTATTTCTAATCTCAGTGAATAAAAAGAAGACGCCTTTACCTCCGAGATCTCGTATTTCTGCAGTAAAAAAAGGAAGACCCAGAGCACATAACGGCACCCAGATCAGAGCAAAAACCCTAGAAAATAAAATATAAACACAAAAGAAGTTGATTTTCCAGCAAACGGGCTGAGGACATGTGAGTTCTTTTGAATCTTTGTTCTTTTGTGTGGGTTCAGAGACTGCCCAGCACTGGTTAGAGAGAGAGAGATGGAGATGGAGAGTAGAAACGCGAGGATTGCTCCGTTTGGCGCAGAGAGAATATTGTCAGAAACGCAAAGCCAAACTCTCTGTGACTCTCCTACTCAAAAAGCCGCGAAACCAGACGAGACTGGTTTGACTCTCTTCCATTTCCCCAAATCTGCTTTCAATTTTCTTTAAGATATCCTTTGATAGGCAAAGGCAATCTATTGTCCCAGTTCAAACCAAATTACTCCACTTCGGGAAGGTATATATATGGTACATTCAGATACCTAGAAATAGGTACATCCCGATAGTACTCATTTTGAAGTAAAGTAGTATTCATTCTCGTAAAAATATAAATATTCATTTTGAAATACGTAGTACTCATTTTGAAATAAGGTAGTCCTCATTTTAAAAGAAAGTATTCATTTTAACACATTTGTATAATATAATTATAACAAATAACGTAGTGTTCATTCTTAGAAATAACAATATTTATTCTCAAATAAGAAAATGCTCACTCTCAAATAAAGTATACTTCAATTTTTTCACAATTAAAAAATTAGTACCATCATCATCCTTACACTTACAAAAAAGCATGAAAAGGATGAATCGGGGAAATACTACAGGAACAAAGCAGTGAAGCAGATTTCGGCACACAATACAAACGAACAAGAGTCTGTTCATTCGATTACCATCTGATGGGCTGGGAGAGACGAAAATACCAGTGAGAGATATCTGTGCTGCCCTTCATCAATCTGGTGCGCTGCCCCTCTCCATCTCCGATCTACAATTTCCATTTCATTTAACCGGTTGTACCCGGGTACAACCGGTTGTATAATATAATCTGCACTCCACTTCGGTTTCTGCTTCTGAGTTCGTTTGGGTAAGTACTAAATGTAAGTTTTATTTTATGTTGTCCATCTTTGTTTTAAGTTTAATCTACTTTCTTTTATGTTGTCCAAATTTGGAATTGATAGTGCAAAAAATGAATTGGAATTGATAAATTCAATTCTATGGAATTGAATCTCATAAAATTTCAATTCTAATTTAATTCTAATTCCATCAATTCTGTATACCAAAGAGACCCTTAATTATTTTTTATTCTTATCATCTCTACGAGTCCCACATGCACTCTCATTATTTATTATTTTAAATAATAATTTATACATCATATTACAGAGTATATTACTTCATCTGTCACAAAATTATCTTTTTTACATTATTTTAAAAACATAAAACCTTTTTAATTTCTATATTTTAATATATTATTTGATAAAATAAAATATTCTTATCGTCACTGATACGGATGGTGTCGAGTACTGCATATAATCTACTCCCTCCGTTTGGAAAAAATATTCCTATTTTGACTTTGAGTAAAAATAAAGAAGTGTCAAATTATAATTGACTTCCATTTTTGCCTTAATATGATGTAAAAAAATAAGAAAGTGGAAGTGTTTTGTTAGAAGTGTTTTGCAATTTTATTCAAATTTTATTTTTAATAAAATTTGGTTTATATCTGTTCATGACCACTTGATTTTCAATTACTTTGTAAAGCACATCATCTAGAGCAACAATCCATTTAGGTGTCCTTATGTATGAGTCGTTGATTGTTTCTTCATATTGCCAATGATTAGCAAACACAAACTCATTTTTTAATTAACCTAGAAGTACTAGGGATACACCAACATAGGGTATCCCATGAGTACACCAAGCCAGCACAGACAAGTTCGCTTAGAAATGCAAATTGTCCCTCATTTTTACAGTACAATTGGATGCTGGAATGAAGAAATGTTTTACAACTTTATAGAAATGCAAATTGGTGACAACTAGCTTACAACACAACATGTGACACATATGAGATGAGTACCTCATCTTGTACAATCCAATAAATGCTTGTACAAATTTTACAAGATCGTCATCATGCCCTATAACGTAGAGCAACACAAGGAGATGTTAAAAAGAAATATGCCACCCTCAATGCTTGACATAGAGCCAAATGATGCGTTATATTAACCAACAAAAATCCCAAAATCAGAACACAATCCAAAGTACTAAGAAATTGATTTAATTATTAATCAATGCCATAAAACATTTGATGTATGCCACAAAACACTTGATCATCCACTATTGAAACTAAAGATTCACCTACAACATTGATGAAATATTTAATGACATGCATCATTTCTCTCATTTTACACAATTCCAGGTATATAAACATAAAGTTCTTCCAGAAATATCTTATGGATAAATTATTAATAAAAGTTTAAAATGTGATATGTAACTTAAAAATTAGTAGAAGTTTTTTTTTTATAAATAAACAAAGATATTAGTGAGACAAGAAAAAAAATAAAAAGAGCTCACGAAACAGAGAGTATTCCTTCACCTTCTGAAGTATTAACATTTAAAATTAAAAAAAAAGTATTTTATTGGAAAAATACTAGGGGTACAATAGCTCAGTTTTGATATAAAAATCAATAACTATATAAAAATGTAAGAATGAATAATGTACAAATGGAGTACATTTATCATCATTGAAACAAAGAATGCCGTAATAAAAATCAATGCTTGGGAGAAAGTGCAACCAAAGAAAATAAAGATTAAAAAGTCCAGAGGTTTAAATTGTCAGATAAAAAGCATTCATCACAAAAGATCAGACAGGGATAACTGGTTTATGCTCATTCTCATCACACATCAAACCTCGAAAAATCAAGAAAAAATCCAAAAAAAAAAAGTTTTGGATTATAAAAAAGAAGATTAATCAAGAGGATGTATCAGGTCTTCCTATTCACTAGAGAATCATATAGATACTAGAACCCATAAACAAATTACAAGCTCTCAGCTCAGTACATAAACATGTCATCATCTACACCCTTCAAGAAATCTTCTCAAAGAATCAAACAGATTTTAAACTTGAAAATTTAAAGATCAAATCTTTCATGGATAAAACTGAAACAAACGTGAAGATAAGCAGAAAAAATCCAATCTTTATTGAACAAATTAAAAAAACATAAACAAACGGATTCAGAAATTGATTGTTTGAAGACCAAAAAAAGCCTCAGACCGTCCTAGTTCAATGTATTATCAACATTGGGATCCAAATAAAAATTTGGGCGTTTTAGATAGAGATTTATCATCATAGGCAAATGACTGGGAAATATGAATTTCTAAATAACAGAAAAATACGTTCATCATCAGATTTGAGATGAATTGTCAGCAGATGGAAGCATCAGACAGGGATAACAGTATAATTCAATTTATCATCACCCAATGAAAAAGAACTGCTCAAAGACTGAAAAACATAAGAGAAAATCAAGAATTTCAAAACAGAGTTGATGCGAAAAGATTTCAGATGAACACGATTGGAAAAACGGGAACACGGAATCAAGAACTATATCGATCGAAGCGGATGGGAATCGGGAAGAGGTGGGAGGGTTTGTGAGATCTGAATGACGAGACGTTAATGGAAGATCGTCTCCATCTATATAGGGGAGGGACTGCGGCGAGGCACTTGAAAACGGGCATATTTCTAGGGCTGACGTGATTGTAACGCCTAAAACAATCACATTTTTTACCGGACAGGCCCGTTTAAATTGACAGAATATAAGAAAGAGTTCTTCTTCCAAGAAAGAATATGGAGCTTCTCACATTTGTGGGAGGCCCAATTTTTCTATAATACCAGCATACATCCTAGGACTACGAAAAAATTTGTTTATACAAAAAAATATACTCCGTATTTTTTGCAAAAGAAATCTTTCAAAATAAAATAAATAATAATTAAACTCGTGCGTATCACGGTTCATAATCACGTTATGAAATTAAATTGGTGTCATTATTAAAAAATAGAAATAGACTGTATAATAAAATATAAAAGTGTAAAGCATGAATTTCAAGTGGACTATAAGATATCTTTTACTCTGTATTTTTCAGGAAAAAAACAATTTTTTAAATAAATATACAGAGTACAATCTTTGTCCCATAAATTTATTCACTTCAATAAATAATGGAATATAAGACATATGTAATTTTTCTGCCTAATTTTGCGCTTATAATATACTCCCATCATTTCGAAATAGAGTACTACGTAAAATTTATAATTCTTCCATCTCGGAGTTCTTATCCATTTTTTACTTTTTCGATCAAAATTGGTACTCGGATAAATTTTAACCTCAAATTAAATAAAAGTAATATTAGATATTGATAGGAATATAACTTCATTAAAAGTATTATATAAAATATTTTCAAAGTACTATTTTATCTAATTAATATACAATATATTTTTTATTTAATTATATTTCAAAGGTTCAAAACGGCTGACTGAAAAAAGATAAGGCTAATCTTGAAAAAAGAAAGAATTGAGGGAAGTAAAAAGTCAATTTGAAAAATTAAATGAAAATAAAAAAACAATATATGAAATTTTATAGAAAATAATTTAACTTTTATTTTGTTACCCAGAACATGCTTTTGACGTCAACCTAGGCGGTAGTAGGTAATCAGCGACCCAAACCATAAAATTTTTAATAAAGTTCGAACAGGCAAAAACCCAAAGGTTGTCCAGACCTAAATCTGTCAAATTGAGAAATAGTAAAGGAAAAGTACCCGATTTGAGAAGAATCCCATGCTTGACCCCAAACTTGACTAGTGAAGAAGGTAAAAAATTTTTTGAAATATTTAATAAAGTTGATATTATTTTTAGATATTTTTTCTTATTTTTAATTTTAAATGCAAATCCATTTTAAATTAAATTATTAGGGAGTGAAAAAAATGTGGTTCATGCATATCTTACATCAAAAGAAATCTTTTGTGCAAGTTTTTAAAACCTAATTGCCTACCGTTGTACCGCAATTCACGCTAGCCGCACCCAGCCGGCAGCCGCCATCTGTCATACCCGCCGCTGTTGAGTTCCGAACGACGCTGCTCCAGTACTCCCCGCCTCCGCCTGCTCGCCGGAAGGTAATTCTCCATCCTTCATCTCAATGTATTTCTTTCATTAAATTCTGTTTTATATAGCTAAATAATCCGTCTTTGTTTCATAATTTTAGAAAATTATCAATTATGGTTTGGGATTTGAGGGTTTGTGTACTATGAATCTGTGATTAGGTTAATTTCCATACAAAGGTTTATTTATTTATTACTCCGAAAAAATCGTATTTAATAATAAAGTGTTAATTAAATCAACTGTTTTAAGGGTTCTGGTTTTACATCAGCTCATTCCATGGATTTACACTTTTTTTAGCCGTTTTGCTTCTTGATTTATTAGGGAGAGGAGATTGAAGCTTTGGGTCTAACATCTTAACGATAACATAAGATTTCCTTATCTTGATTCCTTTGCTGACTTAAATTGGCTTCTTGATTTATTATGTATGTATGTATGTATGTATGTATGTATGTATGTATGTATGTATGTATGTATGTATGTATGTATGTATGTATGTATGTATGTATGTATGTATGTATGTATGTATGACCATTTATTTTAAGGCCCAGTCCACCCACANTTCATATGTATGTGTGTGTGTCTATATATATATATAGGGCCGGCCCAATAGAGGGACAAAGGGTCCGTCCGGACCGGGCCCAAAAATTGTAGGGGCACAAATTTTTTAAGTATTATATATATATATGTATATAAGCCCATTTATTTTAAGGCCCAGTCCACCCACACCCACCCCTTAACTTATCTACCCCTAGCCCAGTACATTTCACCTTGACCAAAAAAACAACCGGAAGAAAAGCCAAAGTGCCGAAGAAACTCAGAAACCTCGATCGGAAGAAACAAGAGAGGAGAGTCGCCGCCTCCACCTCCGGACGCCGAGTCGCCGACCTCCACTGCTCTACCCTCCAAGTATTTATTCATAGCTTTCCAAATTTGTAATTTTTATTTCTTAAATCTTAATTTTCTTTCATTGTTTCATTTTTTAGATTTAAAATCTAGGGTTAATTAATAGTTTTTAATTTGAAATATTTTCTAATTTCATTCTTGGAAATAGAATGAATTAATGGTTCTATATGTTATTAGTTATTTATTTGATTTGGATGAATGGATTTGAATTTGTTATTTATGATAATGATATATTTATATTAAAAAAACTGAAAACCGAAAAAAAAATTAAAAACTGATAAATTGATGAATTGATATGAATTTATGATTTATAAAAACATTAAAACTGAAAAAGAAAAAAACAATTAAAAAAAGAAAAATTGACAAATTGATATTACTTTATGATATATTTCTTTATTTGCTTGCTTTTTCAATTTTTCATTCTTGATTTTACTTAGTAGAATTTATGAATTTAGATTTTATTTCAGAAATATTTTCAATGGCTATGGCTTCTAAACAATTATCCGATAGCCAAAAAAGGAAAAAGAGAAAACGAGATGAAAAAAATGAGAAAGTCTCAAGCCGGAGCTCTATATAAGTTTATGAAACCTGTTGTTGAAGACGAAAAAGTAGAAGTAAAAGAGATGGAAGAGCAAAAGCATCTATAATTTTGTCATTTATTTTTTTCTTCAAATAATATTGCGTTAATTATAATTTAAATATAATTAGTTTACATATGTGAATTTGTTAGACCATTAAGGATAAGACTTTTAGGGCCTTTATTCTGTTTCGGCCCAGGCTCATGAATCCTCAAGACCAACCCTGTTGACCCGAATTTGGGCCAGTGCATTAAATTAGTTTATTAGTTAAGAAATTTTCAAAAGACTTTTATATATTTATATATGTCTCGTCATTTAACAATTTATTAAAAATACACACTTTTATGTGTTGTTCTTGGAAAGAGAATTATATTGTGGTTTCTTTGTCAATTCTAACAGAATTCTATCATTGAAATTATTGTACGTCTAAAAGTTCTTGTGTTAACTTTCATATTGCAACAAGAATCCCTTCGGTGGAAGTGGTGAATTTTAGTACTTATTTTAGTGTAGAATCCTATAGTGAACAACTGATATTATCATCTTTCTAACATTCAATTCTAAAGCTTCAAATAGATTATATTATCTATCATAGGTGTATAGCTAATATCTAATTGTGTTAGTAAATATGATAATGACTTCTGTAAATTTAAAGAAATTTTACTCTCTATATAGGCAAAATGTCATATGAATTTATTGGTGACATTGTGATTTGCAAATAATAAAGAGCTTTGGCTCTTAGGTTGTTTGATTGGACCCAGATTTTTAAATTGGGATGCTAACCCAGCCCAAGTTTCTGAAACCCAACATAATGGATCTTAAGTAAACTAAAAAACTTGACGTTTTTTACTCTGCTCGTTCATCATTATCTTCCTTTCTTTGATCTGAAATCTGCTGCACATATTGTCACGTAATTCTTATCATTTGAGTCTTTGTCTCTTTGATTCTTTTTCTATCTGAAATTCCTCTCCTTCCTGAATTTCTTGTCACGAACCCAGCTCATTCTATATAATTGTTTTTCCGTTGTAAGCTTTTTGTTCTTCCACTGAGTTTGAGGATTAATTTCATTTTCAACAGCATCCTTTGGAGGTTTGTTGAAGAGAAACTTAACAAACTGAGCTCTTTATTGCTTTATTTGCATTTATGGTCATAAATTTGTACTCTTGGATTTTCATGAGATTAATGTTTTGTTTTTTCACTATTCTCGGTTTGGTCAAAAGAATTAGTTTACATCATTTGTAATCTTTGTATAAAGCACGTTGAAAAGAGTAAGGGGAAAACTGGTGGTGTTACATCTCAAAGTTTAATTTGGAAGAAGATTGAATATGATTTCCAAAAAGAAACTATGTTGTTTTGGGATAAACCAAAGTTGAAAAATAAGATCAATTGACTCTTTATTACGTAGTATTGCTTTTGTTTGAAGATTCCTCAAACTAGTTTTCATTTTATCTGGGTTTGGATTTTCTATTTTCATGAAATTAAGTTTCTCAATTTGTTTCTGTGGGATAATATGATAAATAATTGATTGTTTAAGTAAAAATAAGTGGGTAGTGTTTGCCAGTTTTTTTCTGTGAAAAGGGGGACAGAGAAGACAGATTGGAACGCGAAACCTATGCCTTTTATTTCTCGATAGAATTCCCATCATTCGCAGTCTACGGAACCGAACATGTTTTATTCCATCTGTCATTAGTAATCTCAATCAGCTTTTCCTATTCACTAGTATACTGCGCGTTACAACTAGCAGCCCCTTGACTAGTAGCGTGCAACGGCTGAAACACCATTGATCTGTTAGGAGTAGGTTTTAGCTTTCCCCCTTTTAGTAAGATAAGTATAATTCTCTGCTTAATTACTTATGAGTTTGCAAACCAAAAATGACGAAATGGTTGAGTTATGAGTGAAAGACATAATTGTCCCTAATCAATGAAGTACTTTTTTTAATGAGGTCAAACAGTAAAATTTGTTTCAAAATCAGTAGGTAATAAGTAATAAGTTCAGCACATAACACTGTGCTTTTGGAGTATGAGTTTTAGAAGCTCTAAAAAGTATATATATATATAAAGCTATGTATAATAAAGTAATGGACAAATAGCTAAATGTTAAAAAACAATCTTGTAGAGGGGTAATGTGTAAAATTGGAGGGATGAAAGATTTTCACTTAATCAACTCAACCTAATATCTGAAATTTAGTTTGAGAAAGTAGTGTATCCAACAATCTAAACTTTCATTTGTAGTGAGTTTGGGATACTTATTTTCAAGAAACAAGTGAATTTTAGATGTAGGAAAGTATTTTCACATTAAAAGAAGTTCTTTAAATGAAAGAAGTGTGTTAGCATCAAGCTTTTGCAAAAAAAAAAATTGTAATGGATTTCATTGGCGATTTATTTCAGATAAGCACTTTAAAATGCCTTGATGCTTAAATATAAAATACTTTTGATCATATAACTCATACCATAAGTAATCCCATGTTGGGTAAGGTTTGCATACACACACTCTCCACGCATGTGGGGTCCAACAGAGTTGTTGTACCATAAGTTATGACATACGTATTTTTTTGCAGGTGAACTTTGGCTATCAATACTATTAGGTAGTTGTTATTATGGGTACCCCGGAGACGTCACGTGAACCGTGCCCTGACCGCATCCTTGATGATATTGGCGGAGCATTTGGCATGGGTGCCGTTGGGGGTTCAGCCTTCCACTTCTTGAAAGGATTATACAATTCCCCCAAGGGAGAACGCTTAGTCTTGGCCTCCCAAGCGGTCCGCATGAATGCTCCACGTGTTGGCGGCAGTTTTGCAGTGTGGGGTGGACTGTTTTCCACCTTTGACTGTACAATGGTTTATGTCCGGGCGAAGGAGGATCCGTGGAACTCCATCATTGCTGGGGCCGCGACCGGTGGGTTCCTTGCGATGCGTCAGGGTTTGGGTCCTGCTTCCAGGTCAGCTCTGTTTGGCGGTGTCTTACTTGCTTTGATTGAGGGGTGTGGGATCATGGTAAACAAGATGCTGACCGTGCCCCAGAATCTACCACCGCCCATGGAGGAGCAGCTTCCTCCAAACATGGCTGGATTTCCTATGGGCCAACTACCTGGTCAGGCTCCAGTGACCATGGAGGGTGGTGGTGGTGGTGGGTCGTCAGCATCATCTGCTTCATCACCTCTGTCATGGTTTGGAGGGCTGTTTGGTGGTGGTGGGAATAAGCCAGAGACGAGCTCGGACAATGGGAGCAAGACAACTGTTTTGGAGAGTTTTGATACTCCTAGCCCTCCGACTTTTGAGTACAAATAAATGGCATTGGGAACTTGACGCTTTCCTCAGGTAAGAAATTGGTTTGCTATGCCTTTTATAAGAAAGAAAATGGGATGGAATCCATTGCGGAGCCATTTTGGTTAGGTCTATCCTCTTAACCAAACCTGAATCATGTCTAAGTTGGTTTTGGTTTCGGTAAATTTTTTAAACCAAACCAGATTGATCACTATCAAACCAAACCAAAAGCACAATATAACGTTTTTATAGAAACAAAGAAAACTGAAAATGAGATGCTTGGATGACATGAAGGTTTTTGACACTTGACACCATTAGAGGTAATCACGCACATTCAGTCATACGAAGTCATTATACTTAGATACTAACAGTGTCAACCGTAGTGTCATCCATGGGGTGACTGTGGCATGACCTTAAAAACCTTGTAATTTGATTTTAGTTTTGGCAATGTTTTTTTTTATTTTTCAAACCAGATTTTAAAACAATGACTATAAATGGCTTTCATCTTCCTTGATTTATTATAATGCAGAGTGGCAAAATGTGTGGAGACTATGCTGTTCTTACTGTCTGATGATTTGCAGGAAGAGAAGAAATTTCAGCGGCGAATGAAAATAATGTCAACGACTTTGCTTTGCGGCCCTTTACAGATAACATATATGTATGCTTCGTTGGATCATTCTAGGTTCAAAATTTGGTATATTTTGTCGTCTTTAAGTTATAACGCTCGCCACTCTGAGCGCGCCCCTATTGAATTCGCGTTAAACACACTTTTGATCTGCTGTTTTTTTGCTTCTTTGAGGCAAAATTATGAGTTGCAATACAGAAAGGGTCCATCTATGGCAGTATTTGTCTTCTTTACATTACATTCTATTTTTGTAGCCATATTGTGTTATATCTATAAAAAGAGTTGGTTGCCTGGTTTTAGATTTAGGGCCCATTTCGCAACAGCTTTTGCGTTTTGAAAAAGTTATCTAACATCATCATTCAATTTTAGTGTTTCTTAAAATTAATTTGCACTGTTAAAAAAAATATTCAAAATATTATCGCCAATAAAGACGTTATTCCCAAATAAGGCCTTGTACAATCAAGCTTGATTTAGAAGGCATTGTTTTTCAACTTGGTAATACTCCCTAAAAATTTCGTCTTTTTTCTAATTTGCCAAAAAATATGTTTTTCTTTTATTGCTTCCTTTTTTTATATAGGAAAGAATGGGATTTACATCGCTCTTCTCTCATTAAATTTTAACTATTCATTTTTCATTTAATAATTAGTATTCTTCAATATTTTTAAATGCTCACTACAAATGTACAAGTCAGTTTTGTGCCATATCATCTTTGATTAGACTCATCTTTTCACTCACCTAACATGCTTAATGTTTTCACTTGAAATTTAATTTTCTTTAAGTTTTTGAATAAATGGTATTTTTGTATGTGGAAGAAGCAAAACCGCCACAAAATGCTCGAGTTGAACCAAAAATTATTAATTTATTATGAATGGAAAAATACAAATTGAACCGAACAACCGAAAATTATTACGAATTGAATCGCAAAAATCCAAACTGAATCAACCCAATTTTTCATACGAGTATTACTTTTGCTCTTTAATTTTGGGTAAAAACTAAAACCTCTTTAGAGACCAAAACCACCCTATTGGGCTAATTGGGTCCCTTCAGTTGGGCAATTGACCCGGCCCATCTCTGGCTTAACAAACCCTACGCGAATTAACTACGGAGGAAGAAAGAACAGTGGGCTCTGATCGTTTTTTGCAGCGCCACACGATCCGCGCCATCCTGTGATCCGCCCTCTTCTCTGACGAGGCCGCCGCTCCGGAAATACTCTCCGGTAAACCCTAATTTCCCAACAGAAGCCCCGGCAAGCAAGAAGCCACAAGAATCCGCCATGGCCGGAGGGAAGATACGCAAACAAAGCCACCGTGGCTCCGCCGCCGGCGCAAACCCTCATTTTCAGGGGGGGATACCGTTCCACAAGTCAAAAGGACAGCACATACTCAGGAATCCATTGTTGGTGGACACGATTGTCCAGAAATCTGGAATCAAGCCAACCGACGTCATCCTTGAAATCGGTCCGGGGACTGGGAACTTGACCAAGAAGCTTCTCGAAGCTGGAAAGTCCGTCATTGCCGTGGAGCTTGACCCTCGTATGGTCCTCGAGCTGCAGCGGAGATTTCAAGGAACTGCATCTAATAAGCTAAAGGTAATTCTTTTTGTCCATTTTTACACCCTTTCTTCTTTGGCTAGGAATTCTACTGCTAGTATTCCTCTCAGCATGGATTAGCTTGAACAAAATTTTGGAATTTCAAAAAAAAAGGGAATTGAATTTTGATTGGATGGATAGTATTTCTGCTGGCCATAGCAGTTGAATGAGGTGACTGTTACTGTAGTTTAGGACATGCTGCCATTTAGTTTGGGTCCAACAGAGACCAAATATTGACATATCTATGTATGAAATATGGAATGCCTATGCTAAAAGAGTCAATGGACATCTCTATTTGTCCATTGTCATTATTGACAATGTTTTAGTTTCAGGCACATAATCAACTACTTCAAAATAGAACATTAAAATTTTTCTTGGTTTTAGCATTCTTTGAAGTTTTGGGCAGTAAGAGCACTAATGCATCTATGGTCTAATGGAAAAAGCCTCAATCTTAATCCCCCCCCAAGTCCTAATGAAGTTGAGATTATACTGGGTTGTTGCTTCATTTGTTTGTAGGAGAAAATTTTGTGCTTTTGTTCTTATTTGCTTCTGATAATATGATCCCTCAGTTCTTCTCCTTTTTTGGTACTCTTATTTGATATATTCTTTTGTTTTTGCGTGTTAATGGTGTTAGATTATACAAGGGGATGTTCTGAAGTGTGATCTTCCATACTTCGACATATGTGGCGAATATTCCGTACCAAATCTCATCACCTCTCACCTTCAAACTACTGTCTCATAGGCCAATGTTTAGGGCTGCAGTGATTATGTTCCAAAGGGAATTCGCGATGAGACTTGTCGCTCGGCCCGGTGATCCTCTGTATTGCCGCCTCTCTGTCAACACTCAGTTATTGGCTCGCGTGTCGCATATCCTGAAGGTAGGGAGAAACAATTTCAGGCCACCGCCGAAGGTTGACTCCTCAGTGGTCCGAATTGAGCCCATGAAACCATTCGAACACTTAAACTTCAAGGAGTGGGATGGTTTGGTCAGGCTCTGCTTCAATAGGAAGAACAAAACTCTGGGTGCCATTTTTAAGCACAAGACTCTGCTTTCTATGCTAGAAAAGAACTACAAAACTCTACAGGCATTGCAGTTGCCCGCCGAGAATGGATCGTCCGTGGATGATGACGACGACAAGCACATGTCCTTGGCTGTATCCGCCTTGGGAGATGCACTCGGCGACATGAACATGGACATGGATGATGATGATGGTGATGATGATGAGGATGAGATGGACATGGATGATGGTGGGCATGCTAAAAAACCATCAGAATTCAAACAGAAAGTTTTAGCAGTGTTGAGGGAAGGTCATTTTGAAGAAAAAAGGGCTTCCAAACTCTCTCAGGATGATTTCATTCGCCTGCTTTCTTTGTTCAACAAAGCTGGCATTCATTTCTCCTAGGAATACTCCTTTCTTGATTTATGTAATTTCAAAGAATTACTGAGTTTTTTCTTTTGCAAGGTTGAGTCTTTATTTCTTAGTTTTTGGTTAGCCAGCATGATTCTTTCTCTTGTGAGACCAGTGTGGTCTAAGAATCCAATTTTGTAAACGGTTTATGCTGAAACATTTGTATTTTTAGCTAAAAATCTGTATATTTTTATTTTCTTGGATTACGGCAAGAGTGTGTATAATCTGGCAAGTACATAAATATATCACAGATTCAGAGCTCATCATCATCATCATCATCATCTTGGTGGGATGATGTTCTTGACAGTGTCATCTTCAAATTCTTGGCGGCCATGTCCACCGCCTCCCCGGCCAACTTCGCTGCAGACTTTGCAGAGTCTTCCATGGCTGCTTTGCTCTTCACCACCGCTTCTCTCACCTTTTCCCCGGCCGTTCCTTCTTTCTCTGCCCCTATCGGCACTCCCCCACTTCCCCTGAAGCTGCATTTACAAACACACATCCTTTCATTTCGCCAAATAAAGAATTAAAAACCTCAACGCATAGGAGACCAAACATACTTACTCCAGATCGGGGGCAGTGAAGAAGAAACCCATTCCCTGTTTGAAGAAAGACGAGAGCTTGAGCCAGTAAGAAGGGGCGCGGGGGAAGGCCGTGGGGAGAGAGAACAGGGCCATTGCCGCCTCTACGACGGGGTGCCGCCTTTCCCGGGCCGCCTCCACCACCGCTGCGCTCGCGCCGTCTTCTCTTCCGGCGGCGGCCGGAGGGCAAAATAGTAATAAGAGGGCAAAAGACAGAATCATCGTAAGCAGCTTCGCTCTGTTCCTAATTCTTCCCATGGATTGATTGTTTGGTGTGTTTCTGAATCTGTGAAATTACTTACTTCAAATGAGGAGAGGAGAGATGAGATTTGTGGTGGATGTTATATGAATGGGATATTGATTGGGAAGGCGGTGTTTGTGTTCGGAGGTTTTTTGGTTCAGGGGACACGTGTGCATACGCGCCGCCGCCAGGCAGCACATTATCACCTTTGGTTAGAAAATAATACTAAATCCGTCCAAAAAATATAAGCAATACTCCACTATTTAAAAATCATGAGAATTTTTATTTATTTTTATGTTTTTTATTGATTATTTGATAAAATAAAATATTCCAATCATTATTCATTTTGTAGAACTTGACGTAGTGTTTAAATATGTAAATTTTATTTTTTGTAGATTATTTTTAAATAAAATAGATTGAAAAAATTTATAAAAAATACTTTGTTTAGCGTAATGTTACTTATATTTTGGGACGGAGGTATTATGTATTTTGATAATTAGAAATGAGAAAATTAGAGGGGAAAATGAAAAAGAGGAAAAAACAATGAATCTATCTCATCTATTTTTCTTAATTACTTTGTGGTGATGGAAATTCTAGAGAAGTTGATGGAATTCGGGAAGGGTGTGATCGAGAACAAGAAGCTTTAATGGTATCTTATGGTGATGATGATGATGGAAATTCTGCTATAGAAAAAGAAGTTCATGGATCAGAGTTTGGAGATGATGGTGATGGTGATGATGATGATGGATATTCTAGAGAAGGTGATGGAATTTGGGAAGATTCGGATGAAGAAGAAAATGTCATAATGGTATCTTATGAGGATAAACTTTCTGATGCAGAAAAAGAAGTTTGGGAATCAGAGTCTGGGGATTGTGAAGCATATCTATCTGGGTCTAAGTGCAAGATGCAAAGAATATCTGATGATTGGTATTCTAGAGAAATTGATGGAATTTGGGAAGAGTCTTATCAAGAACAAGAAGCTTTAATATCTTATGATGATGATTGAAATTCTATTGTAGAAAAAGAAGTTCAAGGATCAGAGTGTGGGGATGATGAGGAAGGATATTCTAGAGAAGGTGATGGAATTTGGGAAGATTCGAATGAAGAAGAAAAGGCTGTAATGGTATCTTACGAGGAGAAATTTTTGGATTCAGAAAACGAAGTTTGGGAATCAGAGTCTGGGGATGGTGATGCTGATCTATCTGAGTGTAAGTGTAAGATGTAGAGGATATCTAATGATGGGTATTCTAGAGAAACTGATGGAATTTGGGAGGAATCGGATGAAGAACAAGAAGCTATAATGGAATCTTACGATGAATATTCTGATACAAAAAAAGAAGTTTGGAGATGTGAGTCTGGGGGTGGTGATAATGATGATGATGATGATGGGTATTTTGGAGAATGTGATGGAATTTGGGAAGATTCGGATGAAGAAGAAGAAGCTATAATGGCATCTTTTGATGAATATCCCGCTATGCAAAAAGAAATTCAGGGATCAAATGGTGATGATGATGGATGTACTAGAGAAGGTGATGGAATTTGGGAAGATTCGGATAAAGAACAAGAAGTTATAATGATATCTTATAATGATGATGATGATGAATACACTTATGGCGATGATGAATGCGAGGATCGTGTTCCCATGTACAAGGGACGAATATACGCAAAGCGCACTTTTCCCGATTTCATCAATGCTGAATCTTATGTCGAAGACGAAGAAGAATTGGAATGCCAAGAAGATGAAGAAGATGAAGAAGAAGATGAGGATGATAATGATAGTGATGAAGTTATTGTGGGAGAATTTGGAAGGGTATAGGCAAGGAGAGATTTTCTAGATGGATGTTATAGGCCCCAAAGCCAGAAACTGTTGCGAATCTTTTGTTTAAACATTTTTAAAAAATTTTGTTGCTTTATTATTGCATTTTCTTGATGCTTTTTAGTTGATTCTTTCATTGTCTTGTATTGAAAAGAGATGATAATATTAATGATGTATGAATGTCAAATCTTGCTCTCATTATTTGTGTTGACTGCAATAAAAAATAAAAAGATTTACAGAGAATTAAAAGTTCATGTAGCACATTTCTTGGTTTAATCTCTGCTCACTACAAATTTTGATCAATTTCCCTTTATGCACATATATTTCTAGGTTTTTATTCTATACTCATATATAATCTATTAGAAGGAAAAAGAGGATAGTTTAGGATCGATAAAAAAGGTGAAATTTGCACTAAATAGGACTAAAACATAATGACTTTCGTAATGTATGACTTAAACTTTTTTATTCTCTAAATAGAACTTAATAATGACCTAGTGGGAGAAATAATGTCCAGTAATGATGGACATTTACTTGAATAATGACTACTTCATAATGACCAAAGGTCCTACATTAGAAAATAAAAACATATGGTCCTATATTGGGAAAGTCATTATGTTTTAGTCATATTTAACTAAATTTTTCATAAAAAAGAGGAAAGAATGGAGATAAAATAGGGAACATTTGATGGTGTACAATTTTTTGTTGTGATTAAAATACATTAATTTGTACATTGATTTGTTTTTATCTCTTTTTTTTTTATTTTAAGAAAAGGTGAAAGAAATCAAGAAAAACTAGAACAACCGAAATCCCCCAAATTGGGGAAGTCTATGTGCACACGGATTGTTTGGTACTTTATACTCCCTTCGTCCCTCATACATTTTCTCAATAGTCCTTTTTCTTTGTTCACAATAGACTTTCTCGTTTCATTTTTTAACAATTAAAATACCACAACTACCCTCATTTACTTTATTTATTACACCTCACCCACTTCATTTAAAACACTCCACTCATTTTTCATTAAGGGTATTATGATAAACTTTCACTTTTTTTCAACTCTCCTTAAAACCACTAAAAGTCAAAATGAGAACATTTTAGGGGATGGAGGGTGTAATTTTAGTAGTTACCGTCTTACGGAGTAGTACCTAACATTTTTGTGTACCTTTAAAACATGCAACAAAGTACGCATTTTATTTTGTTTTGTTTTATTTATTTATTTTGTATATCGGAGTGGTCAAATTCAGCTTTTTTTCCTATGAGAAGAGGTGTGTACGTAGATTTTGTTCTTACTAAAAAAATAAGTGAACTGTTTTTTAAGAAACTACCGACTCGAGCTGCAAATATAGTACGTAGTAAAGGATAATAATAGTAATAAAATATCTTTTGACTTAATAAAGCAAAAATAGCATAGATAAAGCTCAAGACACAGAAATAGAACAGATAAAGCTCAAAACACACAAAGGCAAAGAACAAACTAATGTTAATAAAAAAAAGTACTGTAAACAGAGAGTATCAAATATATAAAGCACACAAGTCCAAAAAACTACCACTTCACTCAAAACGTCTTCCCAGCTATTCTAACTGTACCTCTGCAAACACTTCTATCTAAGCTCATATCCTCAGTAAGTGTAAGAAATCCTAAATCATGTCTAATGACTTTCTTTCAATTCACTCCCACCCACCAACGTCCTACTGCCACACATACCTAAACCACCTCAACCTAGCCTCACAAATCTTATCTTCCACAGGTGCCATGACAACCCGTCCTCGGATAACCTCATCAAAAATCCCATCCAACCTCGTCTCGCCACACTTGCACCGTAACCCTTAACCTCCGCAACATGCAATCGACGAACATGAGTTTTTTTAATTGCCCAACACTCTGCATCATACAACATAGCTAGTCTTATTACAGACTGGTAAAACTTGTCTTTCATGTGATGTTTAATACCAACGAATAGTTTAATGCAAAAACCTTTTAATAAAGTGTTACTCCGTAATTTTTTCCTTATAGATACACATACAATTAACCCCCCCTTCTCTAAAGCTAATGTATGATGATTTTGTATTTACATATAGGATTGTTGCTACTGGAGTGATTAATTGTTGAGATTTGATTATATTTATATACCGCGTATTAAAATATTATGAATAGTAATCACACAATGATAGAAACTTAAGGATTTACATATTCTACACCACATACTCTATTGAAATGATTATGTGGCCTAAAGCGGACCGGGTTGGGTCAAGATTACGGAAGCCCATCACCTAGCCGACTAGCTTCCGCGACCATTGACCCGCTCAGCCCACCTACCTGGCTTGACTCACATAGAATCATTTGACACACCGTATGGGGTGCACACGGGTTTCATTGCACTATGTTTTTGGAAGTTTTTTTTGAACACTAATAACTCTATTATTTTTCAAATGTTACATAGGCTCAGAAGCGAAATCTCACATGTAATACTGTTACATGGTTTTTGGTAGACCTAGTCTCACAATCTCCAGCCAGTCCAGAGAAATTTTTCATCTGTGCAAATTGTGGAGTTTGCCTCTATTGATCAATTTCCAGAGTGCTGATTTGGCTTCTTCTAGGGTTTCAACCGAGTGCCCTTCTTCAAAGGATATCCTCTGCATGTTGAACTGCAGGGAAGTTGGAGGAAGGTAAGGATATATTTGAGGTCCCAAAATGAGTGAAATCAATACAAGCAGTGAAAGAAATTATAGTACGGAGTATTAAAGAGAAGTTTGCATTTAATGTTTGACTTTGAACTCGGGAAGTTTTGATTTTCTTTGAACATGCACCCTAGAGCATCGGTGGGAAGTGGGGACCCAGGCAAATATTAAGGTAAATCATGGGGCGAAAAGTCAAATAGAAATGCCCAGCTTTGGGTTGCTCTGGGACGTATGCTTAAAGAAAATAAAGCATTGGATATAATTTGGGGCGAACATGGTGTGCAAACATTTAAATGAGCAATTATCAAATTTCCAAGAAAAGGGAGGGACCTGTGCGCCTTGCCGGACACGAATATCAGTGCCCTTGCTGTCTATCGATATCAGAGCAACATCATCCACCTCCGTTTCTCGTGACAGAAGATCCTTTAGGGGTTTTGAGAAGAGGGCATTCAGTTCCTGCAACACATGTCACCCATGCAATTCAACAACAACAACAAACCAGGCATAATACCTCAAGAGGTAGGGTATGGGGCAGGTGAATGTAGGCAGGTCTTACCCCTGTTTGGAAGTAGAGACTAGAGATGTTGTTTCCAAGAAACCTTCATCTCAAATACAAAAGTACCAGCAAGCAAATTACAGTAGCACATATCATGCATGCAATTGAGGTTAATAGAGCATGCATTGATGGGTCTATGGAAGTTTGTGTTTGCTAATGTACTAATGTAGCAAACAAATTATTCAGTGTGAGAAAGCCAAGCAAATTACAGAAGTTGCTCTATACATGCAAAAAAATTACTTTTTCTTTTAAAAAGCAAACTAGATAATTAGATAATGCATAGATGAGAGGTATATGGTAAGATGTTTATCAGTTAAAGGATGCCATATTTCTCGCTGCAATCTTTCTCCCTACCTTGAGGTTCTGTTCACCACCATTCACAGCAATCTTGTCTGGCTTAAGGGTTTCATATTCCTTCACATCAACCCAAGCAACCGTTCCAAACCCTCCAATGAAGTATATGTCACTGTCAAAGGTAAAAACAAACTCTGTCCTTTAGGTGCAGACTTGTTTTCCTCAAAGCATTTTGAACTTTCTAATGGAATGCATACATGTGAAGATTATCAGAAAAGGTAGATCAACTTATTAATGGCTGATGTAAAATGCAGAAACAATAAATGCTAACTTTTTTTTAAAAAAATTTGGACGAGTACAAGAAAGTTATTTTAAATAAAAATATACTCCGTATAACCTTATATTTTGCATCCTGAAGTAATAAAAGTTTCCCCACTGTTGTGAAGGACCTTGCTGATGCTTTGCTATGTACTGTTTATGAGCCCACTCCTTGAAACATTGAAATAAGAGCGAATTCTAGTGAGAGGATATCAATAGAGACATCTACTATTCTGGTGGTCATATGGGATACAATCAGAAAAAAATATTACTGCACTTCAGAGTGAAGAATGCAAGCACCTGTTGATCTTCTGTGAGAGGATAAACATCACCTAATATCGTTACCCTTGCATTTGATAAACCACTCCATCCAGGAATCTAGGAAGACAAAAGTTTACTAGAAAATCTAACAATATGTAACTAATAAGCAATTAAAAGACCAAAATGAACATATCGAGTATATTCTAATAAATATCATAGGAAACTCGACAGATTTCATCATTTAAACCAATATTTCAAGAGACTCGACCAACTCCGCCATAGTTTAGGCCTTGCAAAACTTGCTCCAAGTGTTTTTATAAGAAGCCACTAACCTGGACAACCATTGAGCATCTTGGATCAGCTAACAAATTCCTGGTGTGAATAGCTAATGGCGAGAATGAAAATATTGGATCTGCAGATAGAAAAGAAAACAACTAGATCAAAGCACTGGAGCAAATGTGGTAGAACACTTAAAACTTTTTTTTACATCTAAGTGTGTTGGAATAATCCAAGTTAGCAGCCACATGTCAACTCTTCCGTTATAGGGGTAAGTGGTTCTCAAATTCGGATAGATGATTTTAATGAAGAACTAATTTGGGCGAACGAAGTCATGTGTGGAGTATTGGATACTCTGGATTCTTAAACAAGAATGTAACAACTCACGCCCCATAGCATCTGGTGCAAAATCTACAAGTGAACCGAATGGATAACCCTCTCGCCTATGATGCATCTGGGACATGACTGTGCACAAATGAGCAAACCTAGCCTACAAGCATTGAAACAGAACAATTGAGACTATATCAACTGTGAAGTACTAAGCACTGAACATTATCAAATCAAGTATCTCCCAGCAAGAAATTCACCTGCTCCATAAGATTTCTAACAGCTAGAGCTGGTTTAGGCAAATCATGAGCAGAAGTTGCGCTTTGCACTCCCCCGGATATCGGTGTTCTAAAGAGCCCAGCCCTTGTGCTTCCATGTGACACAAAAAATGGCGTCACAACTTCTGATTTTCTCTCTTCGTCTCCTTCTATCTTCTGTTCCCCGTCAGATTTAAGCGATCCGGTACTCTGAGAACAAATTATTCAAACAAATTGCGGCAAAATTGTGTATTAAAAACAACAAGTGATGAGTAGAATCAGTACATGAGACAGATGAGGAGCTCCTTCAGAAGCTAATCCGAATCCATTTGCTCTATTGAGCCGGAGAATCAGCTCCTCTCTGTTTCCGTCTCCGCCGGCGGATTCTTCCCCGGGAAGCGCCGCAATTCGAGAGACGCGGAGCGAAGAGGAGACGCCGCGCGCTGCACTGGAACAGGATCTCAGATTCCTGCTGCCATGCCAGTCAGTGTGCGTCTTGATAGGTTGGAGAACACAAGGCTTCTCAGAAAACGATGATAAGAAACTGATGCTCGACAGCGCTTCCATGGATGAAGAAAGCAGCAGGTCTGAAGTGAACTGTGAAGTTGGCCAAATGAATCTACACCTACAAGTCCAAAGGTCCCTACTAACAATGAGTGAGAATATAAGATTAAAACATAATACTTTTCTAATATAGTACTATATGTTTTTATTTTCCAATGTAGTCATTATTCAAGTAAATGTTCATCATTACTGGACATTATTCTTCCTACTAAATCATTATTAAGTCCTATTTAGAGAATAAAAAAGTTTAAGTTCTACATTAGAGGAAAGACATTATGTTTCAATCCTATTTAGTGCAACTTTTAAAATTTTAATTTTGATAAAATCTACATTAACTCTTCATTTCGTTTTGGTATCAAACATTTGATTAATTATATACTCCCTACATTACTTATAAAAAAAATATACTCCGTAATAAATTGAAAAATAAAAATCATACCAAATTATCAATATAGAAAAATATTTTTAAACTTCATTTGTATCTAATTTTTTGCAACATTTCAAAAGATGTACAAAATATTATCCTTTTAAAAATTATTTTTTTATAAATTGGTAGAGAAATACAAAGTAAAAATTAAACTGTTTGTTCGTAAGTATATCAAAAGTTTTACAAAACAAGATGCAACAAGAATATTCTATTTTATCAAATGATCAACTAAAACGAGTAAACGAATAAAAGCTATTGAGAGACTAAAATAGTAACTGTGACATTTTTTTAGAACGGAGAGAATATACTCCGTATTTCAAAAGATATTGTTTGTGTAATTGTAACATGAGCACTTTATTTTAACCATTTTCTTTACTTATATTTGTTATTAATTTGAAAAAAATAATACAATCATGTAATTTGAAAAAACTACATCAAAAGTTTTTAAAAAAAGAAGTGACCAAAATATTTTATTTTTTCAAACACTTAATGAAATTGCGTAAACAAACAAAAGTTATCGAAAAGAGAAAAAAAAATTATAATCAAATTAAGACGAAGGGAGTAGTTTTTTACTCTAGCCCATGGATATTTCATTTGTTTTTTCTTGTTTAAATTCTCATATTGAACATTTTTTAACTCTGACAATAAGTTATGGGAAATAAATAAATATATATATATATATATATATATATATATATATATAATGAACTATGATATAAATTTAATATCAATTAATTTATTTGAAAGCATAGTTTTGAAATAACAAATTTTTTATGATCCTTAAATTTATTCATATAAATTCACTTATTTTGCAGACTTTCAAATATAAAATGATTTCATGTATTGGCCAATAAAGTAATCCAACATTGAGCCACATGATCTGTGATCATACACCACTAGTGTCCTGTTTGGCTGGTGTAGAAATGGTTTCAATCTAATGACATGTGTGAACATAGAGGGCGCTTTATAAGTGTACCCTAAAAAAAGGTTTCTCTTATAAAAATATCCAAAAAAGGTTTGATATTATGAGACTACCCTCTATCTACCCTCACTGAAAAGCACGAAAAATTAGCATGTGAGATTCCCAAATTACCCCTATTCTTCGAAAGCTATTGTCGAAAGAATCTAATTACGTCCCACAGCCGTTTAACGATTTCCTCCCTTTTTTGACCCGACCCGAAATTAACTATTTCATGCTTTTCAGCTCCTCAATCGTACGCACACTACACATTTGTTCTGCAAATCGGCAACCTAATTTGATAGCAAAGCAAAACGATAAGATTTTGGAACGCGTTTAGAAGCTATTGCGTAGCGCAGAAGGAGGAAAAAGAGCAGAAAGAGATTACGGTAAACCCTAATTTTCGATACCCCAAAATTTGATTACAAACCCTAATTTTTCTTTACACTAAAGAGTTATGATT